TTGTACAAAACCCTCACCACCTCAGCAGCTCTGAACTCTGATCTCTGCCTTCTCAACTCATGAAACTGCCACTCAATGAGACAGCCTCTCTGTACCACAGTCCAGAACCTGACCCCACAGACAGAACAGGTGGATGTGGGGACTCAACTTTTGTGTTTTTCTTCTCTGAAGGATCAGTTCTGCACTGTCTGAAGTGTAATCCAGTGTTTAAAAGCAGTTGCTTTATATATTTTATACAGCGTTATAATTATTTATGGCAGAAAGTTAAGTCCACTGCCAGGTACTGTGTCATGGCCAAAATCATAAGTCCTATACCACAGTTTTAAGTCATAATTATGATGAAGATTTTGTAGTATATAGAAAAATGTATGTGTGTTTGTTTATGTAGCTATGTAATAAATATGACTTCGTAATAGAATTAAGAAGTACTGAAATAGTTTTAGGCTGGAAGTAATAAACTCTATTTTTTTCTTTAACCCAAGAATAAATATGTTCTTTCTAATTCCCTACTCATCTACTACATTTGTTGAATTTGTCAAATATCACTGTCATATAGAACAAAATTATGTTCTATAGTGAGGCCATCACATACATAGTAAATGACAAAGACAGAAAAATAGTTTATATTGGGTTATTTGGTTTATATCTGAATATTAAAAGTTATAACAGGAAGTAATACCACATTCAGCAGAATTTTCTCTAGGTAAGATTATCAAAAACTTTAGTATCCAGGTTAAATAATTGGGGTGTGTGTGTGTTTTAACTTTTTCAAATCAAACCAAACATACAATTATTTAGATTACTATTGCCATAAACTAAAAGCTAAATCAAAGAAACATCATTCAATTGTACTATAGATATGGAAGGAAGAGGAAATATATATGTAAAATATATATACAAACAAATTATAGGACATGTAAAAATTTGTCTTACTCAAAAATCTTATTTTTGAGTTTTTTCTCAAATTCAAATTTTCATGAAAAGCATATTTTGCATTTTCTGCTCAGTTTTCTTTTTTATATATCCTTTTTAAAGAAAACCTTACTTCCTTTGTATTATGAGGGTTGATGGCTTTTTCCTCAAGAAGGGTAAAGTTTTAAAGATGATTGTTATGTACCTTAAACGTAGAGTACAGGTTTTACATATAGTTTTTAAAAAATTATCTCTAGTTGAAGCTGCTTTACAATATTAAGGAAATTAAAGATATTTCTTTCTTACTCCTATTCAAATGTAATTCTTTTTAGTTCACCACTTGGAATCTTCACCCAGTGAGTATATAATTTTAAACTGTTGTAATTATAATACATATATAATTTGGCCGGGCTCATCCCTGTAATCCCAGATCTTTGGGAGGCCAAGATATGTGGATTGCTTGAGCCTAGGAGTTCAAGACCAGCCTGAGCAACCTGGCGAAACTCCATCTCTACAAAAAACACAAAAATTAGTCAAGTGATTGGGTGCAGTGGCTCACACCGGTAATCCCAGCACTTTGGGAGGCAGAGGTGGGCAGATCACCTGAGGTCGGGAGTTCGAGCCTGACCAACATGGAGAAACCCCATCTCTACTAAAAATACAAAATTAGCTGGGCATGGTGGCTCATGCCTGTCATCCCAGCTACTCAGGAGGCTGAGGCAGGAGAATTGCTTGAACCCAGGAGGCAGAGATTGCAGTGAGCAGAGATTGTGCCACTGCACTCCAGCCTGGGCAACAGAGCAAGACTCTGTCTCAAAAAAAAAAAAAAAAAAAAAAAATATATATATATATATATATATATATATAAAATTTCTTTTGGTTATTTTATAAATCCTTTTCTATATTGTCATATAATAGTCATATTTATTATCTTGAATATCTGTATAATATTCCTTTGATTTACTATGATTTTTTCATTCCCCTACGACTGAACTTGTTTCCAGTTTTTTGCTATTAATATTATACTTAGTGTTCCAGTGAATATCTTCATACAAATATTTTTCTGTACAGAATTTCTTAGTTCTTTTGAGTTACGTCATTTCAGTAAGTTCCCAGAAGTACAATTTATTGGCCAAACTCTGTAAACCATTTTTCCTCTTTGGTTTTTGTTGCTGTTAAATACTTGATTATTTTCAGTTTGTTTATTAGTTACTTGTTTCTATGCTTAAATTATATTGTAGTTGTATTTATTGGTAATAAAAAGTTGTATGATTCTTACTGCCAGCTGTTGAGTTTTGGGATACATGAATCCAGTTCTTCCAAAGTAAAGAACTGTCATAAAGCAGCAGGGCTAGAGGAAGTTCCCATAAATACAGCAGGAACATTTTATAGGTTTCTGTGGGGATTCTGTAACTGTACAGTAAAAAATAGCTGTTCTGCAGGAACTTAGGGTATAATATTCCCCTCACTTAGCAGGTAAGAAAAGGAAGCAACATAAAGAACAGTGTAAGGAAGTTACTGTTAAGAAATAAGTAAATCTGTTAAATACTTAAGAAGTAGCAAGCTAAACTAAAAGCTTAAATGCTTAAAGCTGAAGACCACATGTACTCTCATTGTCTCACAGCTTGATTCTTCCCAGAAAATAGATTATTCTGTTTTCTTTCCTATATGTGGTAGAAATTTGTATTTAAGAAACTCATCCCTAGCCTTAAAAATACTATTTTTTCAATAAATAACTTGTTGCCTTTAATGTCACAACTGTCATGTAATTGTATTCAATATAGTATATTTATATATACAGAATGTATAGTTGCCAGCCCTAATTTATATGTGATTATTCACATATGGTAAAATAAGTCAAAACAAAAACTATTCTAATCTCACTTATTAAAGCAAGAGACAAAGCTGTTTAATGATTATTTGGCTTGTACATAATTGGGATTTATTTAAATACTGGTGGTTAAACTTTTATCTATGAAACTCTGAAAACATTCTCATTCACTTTTCCTGGATACTGCAGCATCCTGTTTTTTTGTTTGTTTGTTTTTTAAGAAAACAGCTTCTCACCTTCAGTGGTGTATTTATAGCCAGATCACTGGAATATACCCTCTTATATCTGATTGTATAAGCATTACTTAAAATAGTATGAAGCTTATCATCATTCCACCCAATGCAACTCCATATTCTGTTATCATTTCCCACACATTCCTAGATACTTAGTTTTAAGACCTTGGAATCATTCATGACTCTTACACTGCTTCTCCTCCAATATCTATTTAATCTCTAGGTCTTAATTACAGTGTTTTCAGTGTCTCCCTCTCCACCCTTCCTTCCTGTTCTCCATTGGCACCACTTTAGTCCTGGGACTCATTATTCCTAGACCATTCCAACAGTCTAATTGGTCGCCTTTCCTCCAGTCCCTCCCCACTTCATTGTGTGTCGCACACTACTTGAATACTTAACTGTTCAGCCCCACATTTAAGATCCTCTGAAATCTGACCTTACCCAGCTCCCAACTTCATTTCAGTAGTGCAAGAGAACCAGTCAAAATGGAGCTTTTTAACTATTCCCTGTATGCACTGTCTTTATTGTCAGCTTCTGAGTGACATTAATTTTCCCCACCGCTTTTCCTCCTAACCTGAGCCCAAACCTCTTATGCCTTCCTATTTGCCCCAGCTAGCATTAATTGGCTACACTCCCCTTCATCAGGTGCTAGCCATGCATGCTGCACTGTATTATCATTTACTTATTGTTTACTTGCCTGCATTAGGAGAATATAAACCCAAGATAGGCAAATGTTACATTTTAAATCTCTGTGTATCCCCCACTGCCATGGTAGAAAATAGTAGACTAATAGTTGAGAAGATGGACTTTAAAGTAACACAAATCTAGATGAATTCCGATTCTGCCACTTCCTGGCTATATGTCTTGCATAAGTTATTAAATTTCTGTTAGCCACTGTGCAATGTGAGCATGATTATAACCCTGTCAAAGGGTTTTTGAAAGTATTAAATAAAATATATATATGTAATGTGCTTATCACAATACTTGATATGTAACAAATAAATGATGGTAATTATTATTGTAATTATGATCATCCTAACTGCCCAATGTTTGTCAGTCACAACATGATGCACTTCCAAGAATTGTATAATTTATCCCTTTTCACCAGTCAGGTGACCACATATAATATAAGGGGTGTTAGGGGTTTTTCTTTTATGCTATATGCAACTTGAATATGGAGTGTGTAATTTTTTATTGTTTAGCAATAAAAATTTACTCTTGGTTTATTCCCAGAAATTGCTTTACTTACTTATAGTCTAACCTATTGCAAAAAAAAAATGCAAACTTTGTGAAAACAAAACTTAAAAATAACTACCTTTCTTCTATACAGTTGTTGCTTCTATTCCAAGACAGACAATTTTTGCAGCAGAAAATAATATCTTCTCACACAGGGAGAGTAGACTCTGAAACTAAAAATACTTATAGAAAGTTCCAGAACTTAGAAAAGTGACCTTTTCACATGCTATATCAGGTACTATATCACTTAAATGTAAATGAGTCCTTTTACAGAAATTAAAGTAGCTAATAAGAAAAATAAATCTAAAGTTACTTTAAAAATTGCAGGCTAAGTACAAAACATTTTAAAACTTTCATCTCTTTGACAGCAAAGTGTTAGAATACAAGTGTTGTAAGAGGAGCATTTAAAACCTACTGAAGAATGTTTTGTTCATAAATTAACAAAAAGGCAAATAAATTTAGCCTTAGAGTAAAAAACAGCAAACCATACCAGCACCCAAATAGTCATACACCAGGGTGTCCTGAGGACATTACTTTAGCAGCCATTTCCCAGAGGTAGCTGGGGCTTGCAGCACAACTAGATTTAAACAGAAGAATCGTAGGAGTTCCATGGTTGTACCAGCGCCATGAGTAGGAACATCTGACACAAAATATATACATTCCATGTGGAATTAGTCAGTATAATTTGTCTTCAGCTAATCTAGAATGAAAGATTTGGTTCCTTGTTACCTTTTTTCTGCCTTTTTCAATGATAAAGCATATTTTACAATCTTTTTATTTTTTAATAGGGATCATATGGAGTGGTCTAACGAAGAAGAAGCAGCCGCCAGAAAAAAAGTAAAGGAAAACTCAGCTGTGCGAGTCCTTCTGGAAGAGCAAGGTAACCAACTGTGTGCTGTAGCTCCTGCTTTAGTCACTTTTCCTCCTTCTCATGTCATTGCTTCTGAGAGCCCTTAGCCTCTCCTGATGCCAGCCCACTTGTTCCATTTGGTAAAATTCCCAGTTCTTCGAGTGTAGTGGGACCAAAGTTAATGAAATTTGTATTCACCCTATAATTGGGCCTTTCAGTAGTCATATTATTGCTTTTTCTGGGAGATATACACATGGGTGGCATTTCAAACAAAATATGAAAACATAATTTTAAACTTTTCCACTTGCTGTGCTGCTTTTACTATGCTATTATGCATTTTACCTGCTAGGAACTTTGAACAAATTTATAAACTTTGAGCAAAGAAGATAAAGTTGTATCAAAATGATGCTGAAGTTTTAGGATTAATATAAAGTTTCAGTAAGGATTGAAGGCAGTTTTCTTGAAGGCCTTTATATTTAAGTTAAATTTAGGTAAGGCCATGCCAACCTTCATAAATGGCTTTTTAAAAATTGGCCTGTGCTACCATTAAAAAAAACCTGGGGACTGGGAGCCATGGTTCATGCCTGTAATCTCAGCACTTTGGGAGGCGGAGGTGGGCAGATCACGAGTTCAAGAAATCCAGACCATCTTGACCAACATGGTGAAACCCTGTCTCTACTAAAAATACAAAAATTAGCTGGGCATGGTGGTGCATACCTGTAGTCCCAGCTACTCAGGAGGCTGAGACAGGAGAATGACTTGAACCCAGGTGGCAGAGGTTGCAGTGAGCTGAGATCACGCCACTGCACTCCATGCTGGCGACAGAGTGAGACTCCGTCTAAAAAAAAACCAACCTGGAAATGTTGATTCCATGTTATGGCTGTCATGAATAGAGCTGCAGTAGACATGGAAGTGCAGTTATCTCTTTGATATATACCTGTTAGTCATTTGTACATCTTCTTTTGAGAAATATCTACTCAGATGTTTTGGCTTTTTTTTTTTTTTTTGAGTCAAGGGTCTTGTTGCCCAATCTGGAGTGCAGTGGTGAGAGCATGGCTCACTACAGCTTTAACCTCCCTGGGTTCGGGTGGTCCTCCTGCCTTAGCCCAGGGTGGTATCAAATTCCTTGGCCTCCTAGAGTTCTGGGATTACAGAAGTGAGCCACTGCCCCAACCTTGCAATTTTTTAATCTTGATTTTTTTTTTTTTTTTTTGCTATTGAATTATTTGAGCTCCTTAATATATTCCAGTTATTAATCCCTTGTCAAATGGGTAGTTTGCAAATATTTTCTTCCATTCTGTGGGTTGTCTCTTCACTTTGTTGATTGTTTCATTGCTATACAGGAGCTTGTTAGCTTGATGTAATCCCATATTCTTTTTTTTTTTTTTTATTTGAGAGACGGGGGTTCAATCTTGTTACCCAGGCTGGAGCGCAATGGCGTGATCTCGGCTCACCACAACCTCCACCTCCTGGGTTCAGGCAATTCTCCTGCCTCAGCCTCCTGAGTAGCTGGGATTACAGGCACGTGCCACCATGCCCAGCTAATTTTTTGTATTTTTAGTAGAGACGGGGTTTCACCATGTTGACCAGGATGGTCTCGATCTCTTGACCTCGTGATCCACCCGCCTCGGCCTCCCAAAGTGCTGGGATTACAGGCTTGAGCCACTGCGCCCGGCCTGTAATCCCATATTCTATTTTTGCTTTGGTTGCCTGTGCTTTTGAAATCTTTAGACAAATAACAAACTAGACAAATAAAAATACTCCAGTGTCCTGGAGCATTTCCCTCAATGTTTTCTTCTAGTAGTTTCATAATTTCAGGTCTTAGGTTTAAGTCTTTAGTCCATTTTGATTTGATTTTTCTATACAGTAAATAAGAGTCTAATTTCATTCTTTTGTAAATAGTTTTCCAGTTTTTCCAGCACCATGCTGATTTGGTTACCATATGTTTTGCAGTCAGGTAGTATGATGCCTCCAGCTTTTTTTTTTTTTTTTTTTTTTTCTGAGATGGAGTTTTGTTCTATTGCCCAGACTAGAGTGCAGTGGCGTGATCTTGGCTTACTGCAGCCTCTGCCTCCCAGGTTCAAGCAATTCTCCTGGCTTAGCCTCTTGAGTAGCTGGGATTGCAGGTGCCCACCATCACATCCAACTAATTTTTGTGTTTTTAGTAGAGACAGTTTTGCCATGTTGGCCATGCTGGTCTTGAACTCCTCACTTAAAGTGATCCGCCCACCTCTGCCTGCCAACGTGCTGGGATTACAAGTGTGAGCCACCGCACCTGGCTTCAGCTTTGTTCATTTTGCTCAGGATTGCTTTGGCTATTCTGGATCTTTTGTGGTTCTGTAAAAATTTTAGGGGCCAGGCACAGTGGCTCACACTTGTAATCCCAGCATTTTGGGAAGTCTAGATTGAAGGATTGCTTGAGCCCAGAAGTTCAAGACCAGCCTGGGCAATATGGATAAAACCTGTCTCTACAAAAAATATAAAAATTAGCCAGGCACTGTGGCTCACGCCTATAATCTCAGAACTTTGGGAAGCCAAGGTACGTAAATCACCTGAAGTCAGGAGTATGAGACCAGCCTGGCCAACATGGTGAAACCCAGTCTCTACTAAAATACATATATATATAAATTAGCCAGGCCTGGTGGCATGTGCTTGTAATCCCAGCTACTCGAGAGGCTGAAGCTGGAGAATCACTTAAACCTGGAAGACAGAGGTTGCAGTGAGCCAAGATCGCACCACTGTACTCCAGCCCAGGCAACAGAGTGAGACAATGCCTCAAAAAAAAAAAAAAATTAATCAAGTATTGTGGTCATGCATCTGAAGTCCCAACTACTCAGGGGGCTGCAGCTGGAGGATTGTTTAAGCCCACGAGTTTGAGGCTGCAGTAAGCTGTCATTGTGCCATGCCCCAGACTGGGTGACAGAGTGAGAACCTGTCTCAAAAAAAAAAAAAAAAAAAAAAAATTCCAGGATTTTGTTTTCTGTTTCTTTGAAGAATGTCATAAGTATCTTGATTGGGATTGCATTGAATCTGTAAATTGCTTTGTGTAGAATTGTCATTTTAACAATATTAATTATTGGGACCTATCAGCATTGAATATCTTCCCATTTTTTTAATGTTCTCTTTAATTTCTTTTATGAGTGTTTTACAGTTTTCCTTGTATAGGTATTTCACTTCTCTGATTAAATTGATTTCTAGATATCTTATATTCTTTGTAGCTATTGTAAATGGAATGCTTTCTTGATTTCTTTTTCAGATTGTCCACTGTTGTCATATTTAAATGCTACTGATTTTTGTGTGTTGATTTTGTATCCTGCAATTTTACTAAATTTATCAGTTCTAACAGTCTTTTGGTGGAGTCTTTAGGTTTTTCTAAGTATAAGATCATATTGTTGCCCAGGTGCAATGGCTCATGCCTGTAATCCCAGCACTTTGGGGGGTCCAAGTGGGCAGATCTTGAGGCCAGGAGTTCGAGACCAGCCTGGCCAACAGGGCGAAACCCTGTCTCTACTAAAAATACAAAATTTAGCTGGGCGTGGTGGTATATGCCTGTAGTCCCAGCTACTCAGGAGGCTGAGGTGGGAGAATCACTTGAACCCAGGATGCAGAGGTTGCAGTGAGCCAAGATCACTTTCCCACCACTGCACTGTAGCCTAGGTGACAGAGTGAGACCCTGTCTCAAAAAAAAAAAAAAAAAAAAAATCATATTGTCTGTGAACAAGGCTAATTTGACTTCTTCCTTTCCAATTTGGTTGCCCCTTATTTCTTTTGCTTGCCTAATTTCTCTGGCCAGGACTTCCACTATTATGTTGAATTAAAGTGGAAAAAGTGGGCATCCTTGTCTGTTCCAGATAGATGAATGGATAAAGAAGATGTGGTATATATACACAATGGAATATTATTCAACCATTAAAAAGAGAATGAAATCTTATCATTTGCAGCAACATGAACTGGAGGTCCTTATGTTAAGTGAAATAAGCCAAATACAGAAAGACAAATATTGCATGTTTTCATCCATATGTGGGAGCTAAAACAGTGGATGTTATGAAAATAGAGAATGGATTGCCAATTACCAGAGGCCAGGAAGGGGTAGGGGGTGAAGAGAGATTGATTAATGGGAACAAATACACAGTTAGATAGAAGGAATAAGACCTCGTGTTCAACAGATCAGTAGGGTGACTAATTCACAATAATTTACTAAACATTTCAGAATAGCTAGAAGAGGCCAGACGAGGTGGGTCCAGCCTGTAATTTCAGCACTTTGGGAAGCTGAGATGGGTGGATCACCTGAGGTTAATGACAAGCATTGATAAGGCTTTGGAGAAATTGGAGCTCTTGTGTATTGTAGTTTGGATTGTAAAATGGTGTGGCTGCTGTGGAAAACAGTATGGAAGTTCCTAAACAAAAATAAAAAATAGAACTGCTGTGTGACCCAGCAATCCCACCTCTGGTTTATATGCAAAAGAATTAAAAGCAAAGTCTTAAAGAGATACTTGCACACTTATGTTCATAGCAGCACTGTTGACAATAGGCAAAAGATGGAAGCACCCTAAATGCCCATCATCAGATGAATGGTTAAAGCAAATGTGGTATATACATAAAATGGAATCGTATTCTGGCTTAAAAAGGAAAGAAATCCTGTCACATTCTACAACATGGATGAACCTTGAGGACATTATGCTAAGTGAAATAAGCCATCAGAAAAAGATAAATACTGTATGATTCCACTTATATGAGACATCTAAAGTAGTCAAACTCATAGAAAGAAAAATGGTGGTTACCAAGGGCTAGAGAAAAGGGGTAAACATTAAGAAAATTTAAGATAATTCCCTCTTAATCCTACTATTCTAATATAATTGTTTTTAGTTCACCATTTAGAACATTTACCCAATGTGTATATAGTTTTAAGCAGTTGTCATTATAATACATAGTTTGGGGATCTACTTTTTTAACCTCTTGTTATTTCATAAACGCTTTTCCATAAAAGGGGGAGAGTTGTCATTTAATGGGTATATAGTTAATAGTCTGGC